CGCCCAAGACGCGCCCAAGAGGCCTCCAAGAAGCGAAAAAGACACCCCACGAGGCGCTGAGGGGCCCCCAAGAGGCGCCCAAACTGCCTCCCAGAGGCCCCCGAGAGGCTCCCCAAAACACCCCAACACATATACAAGAGGCCTCAGACCCACAACCCAGGAACGGTGCCGGGATGAGCCGAAAGCCACTAGGATCCGCCGCCCCCTGTTGATTCATCACAGGGGTGCCTGGCGTGCTAGACCCTTTCGGTTTTGGTGTTGGTTCTTCCCCCCCAAAAAAATCCCCCTGGGCCTCCGACGCGTCCTGCTGGCAACCCGGAAAGGTGCGCAGTGGCACATGTTTTCCTCCAAGACGGCTCAAGATGGTCCCCATGATGGCCACGTTGGCCCAAGATGGACTCCAAGATGGCCTCCAAGTCCGCCCAAGAGAGGAGGAGATGCCTCCAAGTCAGCCCACGAAACCTTCAAGACGGCCCAAGAAGGCCCAAGTGGTGCCCAAGAGGCCTCCAAGACGGCCCAAGAGGCCTCCAAGAGGTCCTCCAGGAGGGCCCGAAGAGGCCACAATCATTAATTGTCCTTGGGTTTTTTTTTTTCGCATTTGCTCCTTTTCGGCTGTCCGACGACCCAAGACGGCCCAAGAGGCCCCCAAGATCGCCCCCCCAGCGCCCAAGAGGCCTCCAAGATGGTCTCAGGACTGCCCAAAAGGCCCCCAAGACGGCCCCAAGAGGGCACAAAGACGACCCAAGAGGCCTCCACGACGCCCAAGATGGCCTCGAAGACGGCCCTGGAGCACCCCAAGAGGGCCCCAAAAGGCCCAGACAGGCCCCCCAAACGGCTTCCGACGGCGTCAGACGGGACAGGATCCCACCAAGATGGCCGACGTTGGCTCGAAACTGGCCCAAGACGGCCCAAGAAGCCTCCAAGAGGGCCTCCAGGAAGGCCAGAAAAGGCCCAAGACATTATTGTTTCTTAGGTTTTGAAGGATTTCGACATTTGCATCTTTTCGGCCTTCAGACGGCCCGAGACGGCCCAAGAGCCCCTAAAGATCGCCCAAAGATCGCCCAAGAGGCCTCCAAGATGGCTCCAGAACGGCCCACGAGGCCCCAAAGAGGGCCCCAAGATGGCCCCAAGGCAGCCCAGGAGGCTTTCCAGACACCCAAGATGGCCTCCAAGACGGCCCTGGAGAATTCCAAGAGGGCCCCAAGTCGGCCCAGAGGGGCCCCCCAAACGGCTTCCGACGGCGTCGGACGGGCCAGGAGCCCACCAAGACAGCCGAAAATGGCCCTAAGATTGCCCAAGACTGCCCAAGAGGCTCCCAAGAGTGCCTCCAGGAAGGGCCGAAAAGGCAAAAATCAGCGATTTCCAATGTGTCGGCCTTCCGACGGCCCGACACGGCCCAAGTGCCCCCAAAGATCGCCCAAGAGGCCCAAGACGGCCCCAAGACGCCCCCAAGACGGCCAAAGAGGCCTCCAAGACGCTCAAGATGGCCTCCAAGACGGCCCAAGAGCCCTCCAAGACGTCCTCCAAGAAAGCCCGAAAGGGTCAAACTGGCGTCCGCACGGACAAGCTAACCTTCAAGATGCCCACGTGTTTGCCGAATACTTTCCAAACCGACTCGGGGAAGACATGGTCCGATAGCTTGGCACGTCTGGCCTCCAACGTTCGGCCACATGGGCACTTAAAAAGGCAAGGGGCGGCGGTGATTCGCCGTAGGCGTCTTCGATAACGCCAGCGTCTCGATATGCGCTGATGATTCTGATCCGCCTCCGCATGATGTTCCCAGATGCGCCAAAGCAGCGCCGAGACGCACCGACGCGACTCTGAGACATCCCATTATGATATAGAGGGGGCTGGCGGCAGGGGGCGAAGCCCTTATGGGTAATCCCAGCAAGGGGGGGTCAGCCGAACGATCTCGTCCAACACCTAGCCAAAGTAACCAATCAAATAATTATGCTATGGGCGGAGTGGTTGGAGTAAGAGAGGAGTAGAAGAGGGATCCGAATTGCGTTTCATCGAAGAGGATCTTGCTTGGGTTCTCATCGCTACCACGCAAAGTTGGACCTAGCAGTGCACTCCTGTGGGGGAGTTCCATGGTAGTCATACTGGGATTCGATGCTGCTGGGAGCATATTTGAAACCTATCGAACTCCGATTGGCATCCGATTGGGATCTTACTAGGCCGGAATATCACTTCCAGGGGCCGAAAGCGAAATAGTTTTACCGAAGAGGGGCGATTCTGAATCGCTCCCAAGGCTAGATGTTTGCATTAGCGGTCGCATTTCGGCCACCTGAGATGCTCGAGTATCACCACCATCACCGAGACACCGATCATCTTCCCGCGGTAGAGGCAACCGCCGATACTGGTACTGGTGCCAACCTCCAGGCCTCTACCTCTTGCTCTGTGGCCTCTTCCGTGGGAGCCTACGTGGCCCCCCGGCGCTGTCCGATTTGGGCCTGATGCGGACCAGGCGTGGAACACGTTTGGGACTGGATTTCGACCAGAGTTGGACCCGACTGGCAGCTTTTCCTTCGCAAGGGAAACGAGAAGGATGAGGACGGGGAGGAACCTGAGGGGGCGAAGAGAACCAGGAGGAAGAGTCAAATGGGGTCGAAATGTGGTGCAAAATGCAGGAAAAGGTGGGGGCGACCAAGAGAGGGGCGTCCAATGGGGGGGGGGGCCACATCATGGCCGGCGGCATGTGCGTGGCCCAGGGAGGGGGGAGGCAGGGGCGTACTGAAATAAGCGCAGAGGCGCCATGAGATCTGAGGAGATATGCTGGTCCCCGCCATGACCCCCCATAGTCTTAGGCCGGACTGTCCAGCTACAGGTGGATTTGGGAGGACAAATAAAATTATCCCAGTGCGACCCTGCCTAGGAGTTGGAGCATTTAGGAAAGCAACATCTACATCTACACCGACAGCTACATTTACATCTACACCTGCATCTACATCTACATCAGCACCAACAGCGAGACTCACATCTACATCTACATCTACACCTACATCTACACCTGCATCTACATCTACATATACATCTACACCTACATCCACATCTACACCTACACCTACATCTGCATCTACACATTCGCATTGGTGTTGATGTTGCGTTGCGTTGCCTTTGAGTTTGCTTTTATAGTTGCTATGTTACCGTGCTGTGCTATGCTATGCTATGCTATGATATGCGATGCTATGCTATGCTGCGCTATGCTATGCTATGTTATGATGTGTTGTGTTGTGCTGTACTGTGCTGTGCTGTGCTATGCTGCGCTGTGCTATGCTAAGCAATGCTATGTTGTGCTATGCTATGCTATGCTGCGCTATGCTATGCTATGATATGCGATGCGATGTTGAGTTATGATATGCTATGCTATGCCATGCTATGATTGGCTATGTTATGTAATGCTATGGTGTGCGAATGCTGCGCTGCGCTATGCTGCGCTGCGCTAAGCTAAGCTGAGGTAAGCTAAGATATGCTAAGCTAAGCTAAGCTAAGCTAGACTAGGCTAAGCTGAGCTACGCTAAGCTGAGCTAAGCCAAGCTAAGCTAAGCTAAGACTAGATAAGCTGAGCTAAGCTAAGCTAAGCTAAGCTAGGCTAGGCAAAGCTAAGCTAAGCTAAGCTAAGCTAAGCTAAGATAAGATGAAATAAGCTAAGCTAAGATGAGATACGCAACGCTAAGCTAAGGGGACGTAACTGGGGGAACCGCGGGGCGGATGCTGGGGGAACCGCCCGGAGCGGGGTCCACTGCCCGGCCCCTTTAAGCTAGACGGTAAGAACCCTTCTAGGCAGAGCCTAGGTAGGGAAACATCAAAACAGAAACTCAAACATAGTGAAGTAATGTCGGGAAATGGTCCCCGAACTATGTTTTAACTATTTTTGCATACTCCTCCTGTAGAGGGACACGCCCGACTCAGTCCTGGTCATCACCCCCCTCTTTTGCCGCCCGCGCTGGTCTCCTGCGGTGTTCTTGGGCGCCCGCTGGCTGGCGATCCCCACGAGCGACGGGCACATCGTCGTGGAGGCGGTGCTCTCCTCCTCCTCCTCCTCCTCCTCCTCCTCCTCCTCCTCCTCCTCCTCCTCCTCCTCCTCCTCCTCCTCCTCCCCCTCCATTCGTTCTCCTCCTCCTCCTCCTCCTCCATTCCTTCTCCATACAGATAACTCCTCCCTCTCGCACCCCTAAGCAAGCTTCGAGGGCGGGCTGGGCGTTTCCCCTGAGACTTCCTCACCATAGGACCCTGAACCTTAAACAGTGACAACAGCTTCACAGAAGGAGGGCGGGTGGTTTTCAAAATGTGGCTCTCGCCTGAGCGCCGCGCACATTCATTCTAGAAAGTTGCAAGAGTTTCACGGGTTGAGGGTGGTTCATTTTCAACATGTGGCTCTCGCCTTAGCGCCGCGCTCTTGCTGACATTGCAAGATTTTCGCAGATTCCCATGACTGACGTACCAGAAATGGCGCTTTGGAAGGATTCACAATCACGAGGGCGGAACAATTACGATGATTCACGGTGTTGACGTCCCAGGAATGTCGTTCTGGTACGATTCAAGATTGTCAAGACGCAACAGTCAGGTTCGTCCGTGGCGTTGGAATACCGAGAACCATGTTTTGGCATGCTTCAGGGTCTTCAAACGGCTGTCTTCCGACGAGGCAGTCCCTGTGGAAATGTACCGTTGTATGGGCCTATGATTAGGTCGGGCATGTCCTCCTAAAGGCAGAGCTAGGAGGAAAAAAAAGAAGTAGTCAATCAATTCTCCCAAATAGAGAAAATGAGCAATAATAAAAACAAATCATCCACAGACTATACTTGGACTATGTTTGAAGCTTCCTCCTGTAGAGGGACATGCCCGACGACTGAAGTCTATGAAGAGGGAGCTTCGGGGGAGGGCCCATTCCAACATCGTTGGCAACTCTTGGGTTTACACTGGTTCTCCTCCTCCTCCTCCTGCTCCTTCCTCCTTCCTCCTCCTCCCTCTCGAGGCCCGCCCAGGGCTCCCCCGACGACCGCGCTCTCGAAGGCCGCGCGGTAGAGCAGGGCAAGCAGCACGCGGCGGTCGGACGGGCTGCCGGTGCCGCAGCGCGGCGCCACGCCCACGGGCTGCGCGCCACGGACCGGGGGCCCCGCTCGGCGCGTCGAGGGAGGGGCTGCACGGGTTCCCCCCGAGCCCTAGGCGACCCGAGGGGGAGAAGGAGGGGGAGGAGGAGGAGGAGGAGGAGGAGGAGGAGGAGGAGGAGGAGGAGGAGGAGGGGGAGAGGAGGAGATGGAGGAGGAGGAGGGAGGAGATGGAGATGGAGGAGGAGGAGGAGGAGGAGGAGAAGGAGAGGAGGAGGGGGAGGAGGAGGAGGAGGAGGAGGAGGAGGAGGAGATGGAGATGCAGATGGAGGAGGAGGAGGAGGAGGTGGAGGAGGAGAAGGAGGGATGAGGACGAGGGAGGAGGACGAGGAGGAGGAGTAGGAGGAGGAGGACGGGTCGCCTAAGCCCTTCGGAGAAACCCTCCAGGTGAGGCGCCCTGGGGCCAGTGCGGGAGCCAGAAACATGTCCACTGTGGGACGCGCAAAAGACATACTGGTACTAGATGTCCGCCCTGGAGGCGTGCTGTCCGCTACACGGTCAGTCCCGTAGCATCCGGATTCGCGATAAGGATGCGAGGGCCTCGGAAGGCCATGTCGACACCTTGCGAGCGGGCACGTCCAATGACAGTGCGCTTCGGCCAGGAGCACGCACAAAGACGTACTAGTACTAAATGTCGGCCTTGGAGGCGTGCGTCCGACCTGAACTTGTAGTATAAACCATATTGTGGTCTATAGCGTCCCGAGCGGTGTGCCCAGAAAGCGCCCGCCACGAATCATCTACTATAAGATTTCTCGGTGCACGCGTCGCCCCTGGGGGGGGGCGAGGCACACATAGTATTAGTATGTCGGGGTGACGCCGACACTATACTATGCTGTGTTTGTCCACCACTTAGTGGCAAAGGGCGGCCCAAACATAATGTATGTAAACTTGTCGAGCTCATGTCGCCCGGAGCCGCAAACCTATACACTGCACGTTGTCTGGTGGCGTTTCTGCAGAGCCCCCTGGAACAGGGCCCAGATACCTTAGTACATATACGCGCGGTTCCCACAGTGGGGTCATCTACATCGTCGATTTGTGTTTCCCATCGACTTCGGCTTGTTGCAGATCTTGGCCTCTGGGGGCAATTTTCGGGCCCCGGGGCCGTCAGAAACGGACCCAGGATGAAAAACTACCCCCAGGCACGTCCCTAGGACGGTTCGTCGAACCGAGCTGCAAAAGTTGCCTTGCTTTTCCAGCGGAATGTCGGGCGAGGGCCCAACGAAGTGGGACGAAATTGGATTGGGATGAGTCGGGGATTTCTGAGATCCGGCGCGGCTCTGGGGATGTGTCGGGCGCCACGGCCATTGCGGAGCACTCCGGAACGCTCTCAGAGCATTCCAGCACGTTCTGGAGCGATTTTTCCTGGCACTGGGGCTTTGGACAATACGGGTCCTCGGGTCGGACGAACGGGGAGGGGTAGCAAAGAGGGCATTAGCGAATCAGCTCACGTGACTTAGGAAACAACGCCTCAAAGGTCTTCGTGGAAACGAATACGGGCCTATCGAGCCCGATTGACCCGGACAAAGTTGGGCCAAGCCGGACTAGCTTGGATCAAGCCGCATCAAGAGCCTAAAAATGAGCCAGAGTACGCGTGGTTACGTGAAGTCAGACGAGATTGTACATCCCAGAAGTCCGCGCAGATCTCTGACAAGATGTTTGTATGTCGCTCGTTCGGGGAAACCGGATCGGGACATCGAATCGGGTCGGAACGGGCGCCGGGTCGGGCTGCGTCGGCACGAAAGCGAAATGGAATCAGATCGGGTGCGCAAGGATGCACAACCGCGCCTTGCGAGCATCGGGCCGCGTCGGGTCGCTGGAACATCTGAATCGAATCGGCATGGGCCCTCTGTCCTTAGGTCGGACATGTCCTCTTACAGGCGGAGTTTTTGGCGGAAAATCGAAAACTGTCAAGATGTATTCACAAATCGTCCACAGATGAATAGGGAAATCGTCCCCAGACACATTGTTTACTAATTGTTGAATCTTCGTTCTGTAGAGGAGCACGCCCGACTCTACTCGATCCTCAGGGGGCCCCATGCCCTCAGCTGCCCCACCTTCGAAACCCCGACCACGCGCACAAGAGGGGCGGCGACTGCCGGCGAAGCGCGCCGGCTGGCGAAGCGGGTCGACCACGCAGAAGGCGGCTGCACATCACCGTTGAGTCCGACATGTCCCTCTACAGGAGCAATACTCCAATCCCTTGTTTATCGATCCCCCCTGAAAAACCGGACCCCCCTCCAAATGCGACCTAATATTCTGGATCCCCCTCTTCGACGGGGCGCCTTATAAACCGGACCCCTCAGCTCCAATCCAAAGAAATCACCCTAAAAAATCTGACCCCCCCAGCTACAAAGAAGGCGCCTTAAAAAACAGGACCCGGGGGATGCTTAATAAGGGATTTGGCTATACACAAAAATTGTACCAACAAATTGTCAGGGGTCGATTTGTTTTATCATGTGTTGCCCAATGTTGAAAATGTGTGGACTATTTCCCGAACGTCCTGTGGTGTTGGGTCCTCGTTTTGAAGAGACAGCGCCCCGCGTTCCTCACCTTCCGCGCTTCCCCCTCCTTCCTCCTCCCCTCCTTGCCTCTGCCCTCCGCATGTCTCTGTTTCGGCACACCCAGTGCGGCGCTTCGTGGCCCCATAGGGAGCTCCAGCGGACGCCCCAGTGGCAGGGCTCGCATGGCGCCACCGCACCCATTTCGGCACACCCCTCACGCGTTTCGTGGCCCCATGGGGAGCTCCTCCGAAGGCCCCAATGGCAGGGGGTTCGCAGGGCGCCACCGCGCCCATTTCGGCACCCCTCAGACGTTTCGTGGCCCCACAGGGAGCTCCACCGAACGCCCCATTGACAGGGCTCGCGTGGCGCCACCGCACCCATTTCGGCAAACCCCTCACACGTTTCGTGGCCCCATAGGGAGCTCCACCGAAGGCCCCGTGGCGGGGTTCGCATGGCGCCACCGCGCCCACTTCGGCACACCCCTCGCACGCTTCGTGGCCCCATAGTGGGATCCAGCAAAGGCCACAATGGCAGGGTTCGCATTGTGCCACCGCACGCGTTCCCACCGAATGCGGGGCTCACAACTGCGGTACTCACAACTGCATATGGTTGGGTGCTCCGCCAGGATAATTGCAACTGTTCGTCCAAAATCCGCCTGTAGGAGGACATGCCCAACCTAACACCACCGCCCCGATGACAGGATCGGTCAGCATCAGATCGGGAAACCGGATCGGACCGAAGGCTGCGCCGGATCGGGCTTCCTCGGCATCGGCCGCGCCAGGCAGCACAGCAGCGACGTGCGAGCCTCGGGCCGCACCACGTGGGCAGCGCGTCGGAACCCGATCGGTCGTCCGAGTCGAGAGAGAACCGGGCTCGGAAGCGAGCGCTGTCGCAGATGCCATCGGCGGCGCCATCGTCCGACCCCGTCGGCTCGGGGCGCCCAGCCGGGCGGCCTGGGCCCCCCCCCCGCGCGGCCACGCAGGCCCCCCCCCTTCGCACCCCCCGTGTGCGCCCCCCGGTGCTGGAAGGCAACTCCGGGGGGGCCTTCGGCAGAACGATTCGGGGCGTCGCCCGGGCGATGCGGGTCGACTGCGGTGCCACTGAGCCGGAGCGGACGAGGCCAGATTCAGCCTGGGATGGAGCCGGATTAGAGTGGACTGCGCGGAGTGAACGGGATGAAGCCCGGGAGGAAGCTCGGGAGGAAGCCGGATGGAGCGGAACTGAGCCGGATTGCATGGGTTGTGGCGAGATTAGATGAGTCTTCGACCACGGATATACCAGGGCCGATGCCGAATTGAACCTCCCAAGAGTTGCATCCCAATGAATGGATGTAGGATGCGCACCGCACCCCGGCGTCGCCGTAGGCCCTGCTGCGGTCGTCGAGCGCCCTCAGCACCCTCTGGGCCTCGGGGGGAGGAGATCGGGGACGCACAAACACGGTCAGCGCAAACCCGGGTCAGACAGGGCCGTCTCGCGAAGCCAGGCCGGTCGCTCAGCAGCTCCCAAACCCAAGCCAGCGGAGGGCGCAGAAGGAATCGGCCCCACGTGGCTCCCCTGGTCAGCCAGAGGGGTCTGGCTGACCCCCGCTAGCGCTGACCCCCGTCATGTGCGCCCCAAAGGAGCGAGCTACGGCTACACCATCGCCCGTGTGCAATCGGCACCCGATCCCCTCTCACAGTAGTCTAAAGGCGCAGGGCGGGGCCGAGAACTTACCAACTGTCGCAGTATCGATCCTGTGACATCCTATCTCCTCCTCCTCTTCCTCCTGCTCCTCCTACTCCTCTTTCTTCTCCACCTCCAACTTCAACTACTATTATACCTCCTCCTCCTCCTCCTCCTCCTCCTCCTCCTCCCTTTAACTCAGAGCGTCTTGGCGGCTTCGTGCATAGGTAGAGTCAGGGAGAAGACCTCCTCGATCTCCGAGGTTCGAATATTGACGCGTTGGGTTCTTATGTTGGATGAGGGCTACGGGGGCCTCTGGATGAGCCCGCACGGACCTCGGGGAAGACCTCCGCGGAGACCTCCAGGGGCCCTGGGAAGGGAAGGGAAAAGAGGAGTCTACAGTATACGCTCGAGAAGAAGAGTTTGAGCCCTTTCACCGAACGCCCAGGGCCCCATGGAGATACCCCAAACCTCGAGCACTCCAAGGTAGAGAGACTGGCTGCGAGGAACACGAGGGCGCCCCAGCGAGAGATGGGGTGGTCTTCCACCGTGTGCCCGCTGCGTGGAAGAAGGGCCCTGACCTCCCAAGAGGGCTAAGATTAAGTTGGGCCTGTCTCCCTACAGGGGGATTTTCGACGAAAAATAAAAAATATACAAAAAAAACCGAAATGGCGCAAAACAAATTGAAAAAAATGTCCCCAGACTATTTTTTACTACTTTGGAATATTCCCCCTGTAGAGGGACAGGCCCGACTTAAGGCTAACACGCAGCAGCACCATGACCACTGAATACGTATCTCCGACGAGGCGTTCAGCAGTCCCGATATGGCCACATGTATGGCGGGTTGCCTGCAGCACTCGGAAGTTCACTGGAGGAGCGGGAGAAGAAACAGCTGCGCAGCAAGAATACCTTCGGGGGACCGCGCAAATTCCTCGGATCGGCGGTGGACTCCCCCCGAATGCTGCGCGGAGAGCGCACCAAAAAGGCGGCGCCGGAGGCGCTGCCAGAGGGGCCTGGGGACGACCGAGGAGAACCGGCCCACGTGCCCCCACCTGGGGGTGCTTACGTCGCGTACTTCAGGGATGGGATGGGGATGGCGAGTTGTTGCCCGGTGGGCGAACCTGGGGCGCCTCGCGGGCGAGCCATGCGTTGGGCGGGTGTGGCGAGGTGTCGCACTGCAGGCGGCTGTGATCGCCTCGTGAGCGCCCCGTGGGCTGGGCGGGGACTGCAAGTTTCGCCTGCTGGGCGGCCGTGGATGACTCGAGGGCGCCCCGTGCGCTGGGCGTGCACGGCGGGGGTTCCCCTGGTGGGAGGCTGTGGGCGCCGCGTGAGCGCCACATCGCTTACTGAATATAGATTGCACCAGGTATCTACACCACATAGACCACACCACGTGTATTGTACCACATTAACCGCACCACATAGCTTACACCGCAAAGGGTGCACCACAAAGAGCGCACCACAAAGAGTGCACCACATGGCTTGCACGACCAGGTGTGAAACAACTGTTGGGAAGCCACGCTGGCAACGTATCGTCGTGCTTGTGTCGGAGCGCTCCGGATTGTCTTCCTCCTCCTGCTCCTCCTCCTCATCAGCACCATCATCATCATCATCACCATCACCACCACCACCACCACCATCATCATCATCATCATCATCATCATCATCATCATCATCATCATCATCATCGTCATCATCATTTTCATCATCATCATCATCATCATCATCATCATCATCATCATCAGCATCATCATCATCATCATCATCATCATCATCATCATCATCATCATCATCATCATCATCATCATCATCATCATCATCATCATCATCATCATCATCATCATCATCATCATCATCATCATCATCATCATCATCATCATCATCATCATCATCATCATCATCATCATCATCATCATCATCATCACCATCATCATCAACATCAACAACATCATCATCATCACCATCATCATCATCGTCGTCGTCGTCATCGACGTCATCATCATCATCATCAACATCAACATCAACATCAACATCAACATCATCATCATCATCATCATCATCATCATCATCATCATCATCATCGTATCAGCATCATCATCACCACCACCATCATCATCATCAACATCATCATTATCGTCATCATCACCATCAACATCATCATCATAATCATAATCATAATCATAATCATCATCATCATCATCATCATCATCATCATCATCATCATCGTCATCATCATCATCGCCATCATCATCATCATCATCACCACCACCATCATCATCATCATCAATATCGCCATCATCATCGTCACCATCATCACCATCATCATCATCGTCATCATCATCATCATCATCATCATCATCATCATCATCATCCCACCCATACCCCACCCGCTACCTTCCTGATCCTCCTCTTCCTACTACTCTGCCCTCTCCTGCTCCCCTGCCCCTCTTCCGCGTACGCTCTCTTTCTCCGCGACCGCCGTCGCGCCCCAGGGAACAGGGCCCTGGGGGAACAAGCGGACGGCAGACACAGCAAAAACTTTGGGAGGTACGCGAAGATTTTCCTGGGCGGGCACTGGACCCCCTCCCCTCGCGCACCAAGCGCGCCAAGGACGGCGCTGGAGGCGCCGCCAGGGGGGTCAGGCGCCGATCCGCGGAAGCCGAAGGATTAGGATTAGGAGTACGGCAGGCTCGTGTCGTGACGACTTGAGCGATGGCTCTGCCACCGCGCGGATCGTCCAATTCTGAACAAGCACGGCCTCCCTGCAGCGCAGGCAGTCTTTCGGCGTTCAGCCCTGAACACCCGCCCGAAGGTCTCCGCCGCGTCGCAAGGCAAGAACCTGCCATATGCTGTTTCTGTCATTCGATCAATGAATGGGGCCCTGGGACACAAATAAATACACACACATAAAAGGATTACCAATATTTTCCTATATTTTCTGGTTTCTTGCCTTCCCCCCCACTTCCCATATGTTCCCATATTTTCCTGGGAATGGACGATTGATTGTGTCTGTTCTTCTTCCCCCTCCTGAATCAAGGCCTCCGTCGACAACTCCCCCCGGCCCGTGCTGTGGGCATCTGGCCACCATGGAGAAGGGCAGCCCTCCAGCCCAGAACGCAGCGCGCGAGGCGCGATGACCTTCGTGGGCGTGGGAGTGCTGAGTGCAGTGGAGGCCAGTCAACACGAAACCTTCCACAAGAAACCCAACCCTGAGACCCCAGGACATCCATAGATCTGTTGGTGTGGGAGCGTCACGCTTCGCCCGTCGCAAAACCACCGAAACCCAAGAAACCCACGGGCACCCTGGAGGCGAGCAGGGCGCTTCTTGGCATGGGTCTCCACTGCAAGTGCTTCTGTCGGGGGCGCGCAAACTTGGACTAGCGATCCATGGATTTGGCGCGCGGTCTGCAAATCCATGGATCGGGAGAGGTGCCCTCCCCAAATGCGGCAGGTGCCGCCTCGCTCGGCGGCGGAAATCCGCGATTTCTCATGGAAACGGGACCCGTCGCTAATCCACGCCCCCTTAATCCATGTTTGCGATCGCCTGATCCACTGCAAGAGCTTCTGCCTCCACCAAGGCCTCCATCACAAACTCCCCCCAGTCCATGCTGTGGGCATCCGGCCAGTAGACGCTGCCGGCGTCGTCTTCTATCACCCAGCGGAGCTGCTTGCCCGCCGGCGGCCGTCCAGAGCTGGCCTGTCTCGGCACTCCTCTCCCGCCTCGCTATCCTCCTCCCTCCCGCTCGCCCTGCTCGTCCTCTTCCCTTGGCGGCTCTGGGAGGGGCTCCAGGCCATGCACCAGGACGTCCGATGGCTCATGAGCTCGGTGTCTATATATATATACATATGAATATCAAACTATGTATATATAACATATTGATTATTGATACACATATTTATAAACATATACTGATCGATAAATGTATATATATATATACATATATATATATCAATGCGTAAATATACATATATATATGTGTATATATAAGTAAAGATGTATAGATCGACAGGCCCATATACAGCAACCTAGAAATAGTTATAACTGCTCATATTAATATATAGAGAGAACGAACCGGCATATACATTGGTACGTGTATACTGATAGGTATAGATGCCGGTATGTACATACACAAATGAAGCTATATGTGTATGCTATATTGTAGATATGTACATGCGCCTAGCTATACACATTGAAATACATACCTGAATATGCATAGTACTCTGAACATAACTAGATATATACACATGCATAAAGCAAGCTATTTCGACCTATATATATAATCCTATATCAATGTATATATGTGTATATATATGTGTGTATACGCATATACATAGATGTTTTACCTCTATCGATCGGTATACATATACAGAAACATGCTTATATATGTATATGTGTATATCGATAAGGCTATGGAGGCCGCAGTCTCCCAGCCTGTGGGATGCGGGATGTGTCTATGCATCGACCTCCTCCGCCAACCTAACGGGCTCCTGGGCCAACCGGGCGGCGTGGAGACACCGAGCGACCCTCCGCGGCACGCACGACGGGGCAGCGCGAGAGGGGGGAGGTGCCCTCGAGGGGGGGGGCCTCAATAGGGAGCTGCCTTCGAGTGGGGGGAGATGGCTTCCAGGGGGAGATGTCTTCGAGGGGGGGGAGATGCCTTCGAGGAACGCGGGGGAGGCCCAACAAAAAGGAAGGGCAGGAGAGCTCAACAGAGAATCGACAAGTCGGATCGGCGATCGGCATGACTCGGACCGGCGGAAATCGGCAGCCGAGTCGGGAGAGGTCGAATCGGCGGAAGTCGGCAAGCTAGCAAGGCCTCCATTGAGAAGTCGGAATGCCAAACGGAATCCGAGGTAGAATCACTTCGGAATCGGCATCGATCGAAATCGAATCGAATCGAGTCGGAGGAGTAAAGATGAGCCCTGGAAGGGGGGGGCGGGCTTCTGGGAGCCCCTCCCGGCTCCCGAGAAGCCTTCCGAGAAGCCTGCGGGGCCTTCTCGGAAGGCCCCTGCCTGATCGAGAGGCCCCTCGACTTCTCAAAGGCCAGCCCCCTCGCGCCACCCCCGAGTGCGCGCCGCGAAGGGGGACGGGAGGAGTGCGACAGTCAGAGCCGAGACGGCGACCTACTCCTCGTCGTCGTCGTCGTCCATCTCCTCCTCCTCCTTCTCCTCCTCGTCCCCTCCTCCTCCTCCTCCTCCTCCTCCTCATCCTCCTCCGCCTTCTGGGTGAAGGCGGTGGGCTTCCCTCTGAGAAGCCCACCGCCGTCTTTGACAGGCCGCGCACAATATTCTTCTCCGTGATCCTCAGAACGTGCGTTGGCAACACCGCGTGCTTGCCCAACGGAGACCGTCAATGCGACGCAGGTGGTGGAATGAGGCCGACAGTGGGTCGCTTGCTAGCGGTGACACTGAACGGGGTAAAAGCACAGTGGGTCAACACACGTCCTGGGGATCCTCTACCCTCCTCGAGGGGTCCTCAGCAAGCATAGACGTGTTGAACCACCACAGCACGGGTGGCTTCTCGATGAACCCATAGTCCCGGAAGAACTCGGGGGCACCGTCGACGTAAAAGCCATGGCCGACCATCCTGTGGACGAGCGCGCGCCCGAGCCCAGCTCCTGGCCGGAAAGTGTTGAATATCTCCTCGCCCGCGGCGATGTCCCGCCGGGTGACGAACATGTGGGCATTGTCGGCCGTGCGCCGCACGTCGCGGAAGCGGAGGTCGTGGCTCGTGCTGTTGAAGCCGTGGTTGAAGGCGTCGAAGACGGGCTGCATGCCGTGGGGGCCGCTCCGGCTGACGTGGAGCGCCACCGCGCGGGCCACGAATGATAGGCAAATTTTCCACCACCACCACCACATGTAGGACGGGGGAGAAGGGAGGATGAGGAGGTTCTTCTTCTCCTCCTCCTCCTCCTCCTCCTCCTCCACCTCCCTCTCCTACCTATGGTAGCGGTGGTGGAACGTGGGCCCATCAACGAACGCGTCCGAGAGCCCGAGCTCCCCGCACTGGTCGGTCAGCCTCGTGGTGTGGCTCCGCCAGACGCCGGGCGGGAGCCCGTCCAGCAGGGCGAGCTCCTCCAGGCTCCAGGCGTCGGGGATGTCGACATCGACGCTGGCAGGCCGGCAGCCAAGACCCACGCTGCGACGAGGCACTGCCCACGGGGGGGGGGCGACCCCGACGGCCCTGCGGGCCAGTGTTGGAGGCCTGCGGTGCAGCATGCGGTGTTGCAGTGCTGAGCACTGCAGACAAATGCAAAGCGAAGCGGCACAGAGGCATTAACAACATTGCAGAACGACGCTGACGAATGCAAGCAATGTGACGTAGAGAAAAGGTAAGCAAGGCAACACAACACAAATTCAAGCAATGTCAAGAAATGCACATCAATACAACGCTCTTCAAATCAACACCATGAAAAGCAATGCACGGCAATGCATATTAATGCAAGGCGGCGCAAAGCAGCGCAAATCAGTGCGTTCAAAGCTGTACAAGCCAGTGCAAATCAAAGCGATGCAAATGAAGGCACAACTATACAAAGCAAGACCGCCGCAACCCATACGGCAACCATTAGCCACCAATGATTACCGGGCCAACGTGCGCAATCCATGACAGACACCATTGATGCGGACTATGACCAGAAATAAGTCTTGATCCGGCATTCCCAAGTCTTTCACTGGACGGGGCATAACGAAATTGCTTTCCTCTCCAACTCGCTTCCCATTTTTCCGTCTGGCCGACACGAGTCCGCGCTGAGCCGGGAGTAGATTACCAAACCTGACCAGCCCGATTGGCGCCTCCTCCTCCTCCTCCTCATCGCTCTCATCCCTTCTCATTCTGCCTCCAACGCGGAACAGCCTGGCCCCAGTCCCCCAAGGCGCTGTCTCGTGAAAGGCTACTGGAGGCCAGCCTGCCAGATGTCTTTGACGAACCTCAAGTAGGGCCAGTACGTAGAGCACCTCCCCTTCCGCAGCTCCTCCGAGAGCACCCGCACGGTGTCGCAGGGGTGGTCCTCGTGCCCACACTATAGGGGGTGACCTTCCTTCCAGTCGCGCTTTTGGCGCAGCATTCGGAGGCTATCGAAGGCCATTCGAGGCCATGCTGAGCTACGGCAGGCTGCTTGACGCGACCGCAGACCATCTGGAGAACGAGTACCCAAACCTCCGACACCCTACGAAGGTCAATGGGGCGCTCAACTGCAACCTTCGAGTCGATTCCCCGCTGCGGGCTGCTTCCTGTGGGTCGCGGCGCTCAGAAAACAGTATCCGATTCAGAACCAAACCGACGGTCGAGATTTCCCAAGACGCCAGAAGTCTAGGATTGCCCAGACAGAAATGGCACCCCATACGACGACGATGATGATGACGACGACGACGAGGACGACGACCGCTAAACATGTCTAGGGGTGTTTACGACGAGACTCACGAGGGAAATTCAGCCTTGACGATGAGGGATCCGAGGAGGCTCAGAAATGCCAAAGCGTACAACAACTTCGAGAATCGACTCCAGCTCGACGATAACGACTAAGAGGCGGGGAATCATACATGTCCACCACCTGGGGAACCGACGTCCCAGGCCACCTGTGTCCCGAAAAAAAACAAAAATATCCACTGCATCGCGCTGTCCTGGGACAAGCGGTGGATTCACTTCCCGGGGCGATCGATACAGTGCGGACGCGTCCGCACGAAAACCTCGCGAGAAACCCAATCCTGAACATCCGCGCGCGAGATGCAGTTGGGGGAAAACCAAGGTACCATGGCTCTTAGGCAGGTAGTCATCGCGCAACACGCGAAGCAAAGAAACTCGAGGTGCACTGTCGAATTCCGCTGACCCTATCGGCGTGTGGAAGACGCTCTTCCATTCGTCGTCGTCGTCGTCGTCGTCGTCGTCGTCGTCGTCGTCGTCGTCGTCGTCGTCGTCGTCGTCGTCATCGTCGTCACCGTCCCCGCTCCCCCCCTTTCCCTGAACCCTCCTCCTCAAGCGCGCCAGCCAAAGGGAAATTAAGCAGCAACGTCGTAGTTGAGTTGAAAGGAAGCCCCTTCCCTAGGATCCCTTCCCCGCCAGGGGGGGTCCCGCGGGGGGTGCTGGGGGCGATCCCCGGGGGAGATCCCAGGGAGGACCGGGGACAAGTCCCAGATCAAAATGCCACCCGCCCCGCCCCTGGGGGGTCCCAAAGCCCAAACGCCCCCAAGACTGCACCAAGAGGCCTCCAAAACGGAGAGGGCCCCGAATCGCCGAACTAAGAGTCCAAGACGCCACACTAGCCTCCAGACGGCCCAAGAGGTTTCCAAGACGCCCAAAAGAGGCTCACAGAGCACTCCCAAGTGGGCCCCGAGAGGCAAAAATGATGAGTTTCCACAGGTTGTTGATCGATGTTGGGGAGACCCGTCTTTTCGATTTCCTTTACACTCCAAAAGGACCCCAGGATCGCCCCAAGATAGCCCAAGAGGCCTGGCCGTAGGCGACCCGAGGAGGAGGAGGAGGAGGAGGCCTTCAAGACGGCCCAAGTGGCCCCCCAGACGGCTCCAAGAGAGTGCCCAGACGCGAGACCCGAACGGACACTTCGAGCACTCGGCCTGAAAGGCTCCCTGGGAGCGCCAAGAGGCCCCAAAAAACGCCCCCAAGAGACCCCCACGAGGCCCCTAGGAGGCCTCAAGAGCAAGGGCTCCCAATTTCGCGCTTCGCGCTGCGCGAAGCGCGAAGTGCGAATAACTTCGCGCTCTCGCGCCGCCTCCCAAGGGAGAAGAGTAGGATGAGGAGGAGTCGGAGCCGAACCGCGAAGCGCGAATAACTTCGCGCCCTCGTGGGCGCCCATGAAGAGGCCCCAGGAGCCTCCCGACAGGCGCCCAAGAGGCTTCCAAGAGCCAGCAAAAACTGCCCCCCAGAGGCCCCCGAGAGCGCTCCGAAGAGACCCACGAAGCATCCCTGAGGACTCTGACCCACGTCAACATCGTCGTCGTCGTCGACGTTCAGGGTCGACGGCACCGGCCGTAAGGCCTCTCCAATAGATGGTCCTTTGATGCGCCTCTCCACAGAATGTATGATGGCGGAGTGGAAAAATACTGATGCTGCTACCCCATGGCCAGAATTCCGAGGCGAAACCAGCGGTGGCGACCAGGGCCTCCAAGGAGACGAGGCAGGGGCAGCGGCATCGGCACCACTGCCTTTTCCCCCTCGGACCGCAGATCTCGGCGTCGGAACGACGGCGACGGTCCCTCTCGAGGATCATCAGCTCGAACGGCACCGAGACGATGGTCTCGCCGCTGCCGATGGCCTTGGAAAGGGCCCAAGCGTGCCCCAGGACGGCGTGCCCCTGGTGGAGCTGTCGCACCGGCCACGGTTCCAGCCACCGTGGTCGCCAGAAAACGCAGCCGTCGGGCGCCCCGAGGTGGGCCCGGAGGCCGCCGTTCCAGGGCGCGTCTGCTCTGGGGCACGTCTTGGCCTCCCCTGCTGGCCTCCCTGGCGAAGACGCCGCGGCCTGCCGCCCCCTCGTGCACGAAGAGGCGCTGGTCCACGAGCCCGCCCCGAGACCGCACCCAGTCGAAGAGGTCCTCCGGGAGACGGAGGGCTTTTCGCGACAGCAGCGTTTAGGTGAGTCTTTGGGAAGCGCTTTCTGACATATGCTTCCAGGGTCTAGTGGCCTTTCGCGGCCTTTGGCTGAATTTAGTGTGTTGGCGGCTTTCAGCGGCCCTCATTAGCCTCTGCAGAAGTGCAAAAACATTTCTATGTTAAGAGCCGCTTAACGACATGGCTCGGTGTAGGCCCTGCTAGTTCGCGCGCGTGCCGCTCGCATCCGAGCCGAGCGATACGAGAGAGACCGCGAAGCAGACCCGCAGCCCCAACCCGAGAGGGGCGAAGGCCGACGCTGCACTGCGCAACGATGTGCCACCCTTGCCGAAACAGCAGCACAAAGCGAGGAAGAACGTTAGATCGGGCATGTCCCCTTACAGGCCGATGTTGGAAGAAAAATACCAAATTACAAAAATACACAAGACTGCACATGATCGACCCACGAACCCGGAAAGGAATATAGAAATGTAAGGCATGGCAACGTTTCAAAGACACCTGATTGGACGACGAGCAAACGCAATGCTGAGTGTATCGATATTGATGTACCGTGCCGAGGACTGTGCTGTGCAGCGCCGTGCTGAACTGCGATGTGCCATGCCGCGATTGTGATCTATAACGTTGTGGATCGAGTCCTCCTTTGCATCCGAGTCCTGACCGAACTGACCTGGATCTTGAGCTCGAGCTGCCTCAGCACATAGTAGCTGCCCCAGAGCGAATTGACAGGGGAACATGCCAGGAGAACGCGCCGTGGAACGTCCCAAGGGACGCGCCAGGCGACGTGCCAGGGGACGTGCCTCGGGGCTGCACCGCGGGACGTGCCGAGGGGACGCGCTACGGAACGTGCCAATGAACGTGCCACGGGACGTGCCAGGGGACGCGCCGCGCGACGTGCCAGGGGGACTCGCCACGGGACGCGCCACGGAACGTGCCAAGGAACATGCCAAATTGAAATGCTGAGTGGATCGATCTTGATGTACCGTGCCGAGGGCTGTGCTGTGCTGCGCTGTGCTGCGCTGTGCTGCGCTGTGCTGCGCTGTGCTGCGCTGTGCTGAACTGCGATGTGCCATGCCGCGATTGTGCTCTATAGCGTTGTGGATCGAGTCATCCTTTGCATCCGAGTCCTGACCGAACTGAAATGGATCTTAAGCTCGAGCTGCCTCAGCGCATAGTAGCTGCCCCAGAGCTAATTGACTGGGGAACATGCCAGGAGAACGCGCCGCGGAACGTCCCAAGGGACGCGCCAGCGACGTGCCAATGGACGTGCCATGGGGACGCACCGCGGGACGTGCCAAAAGGGACGGGCTACGGAACGTGTCGATGGACGTGCCACCTCATGCTAGACATTCGACTGGGCGAACTGGAAGGGAAAACAAGGGGTTCGCTCGAGACGCCCTCAACATATCTTCATGTCAGACGTCTGTTCCAGGCCCCCAAGAAGGCCCCAGGAGGCCCATGTTAGATACCTCCTAGGTGGCCTGGACACGTGAAAAGACCTGGTTCTGCCATGTTAAATACCACCCTGGGCAGCCTGGAGACACAAAACCACGCGGTTACAATTCGGGACAATGGGTGGCCTGGACACGTAATCACACGTGGGACCAACTCTGGGCAACCATGTTAGATACACCCCTGGGTGGCCTGGACACGTTAAAACACGCGGTCCTTGCTCGGGACAACTATGGTAGATATCCCGCTGGGTGGCCTGGACACGTAAAAACATATGGTGCCAGCTCGGGGACAATCATGTTAGATACCACCCTGGGCGATCTGGACACGAAAAAACGTATGGTTCAAGATCGGGACAATCATGTTAGGTATTCCCCCTAGGTGGCCTGGACACGTAAACACATGTGGGACCAGCTCTGGGCAAGCATGTTAGATACACCCCTGGGTGGCCTGGACACGTTAAAATGCGCGGTCCTTGCTCGGGACAACTATGTTAGATATCCCCCTGGGTGGCCTGGACACGTAAACACATAGGGTGCCAGCTCGGGACAATCATGTTAGATACCACCCTGGGCGGCATGGACACGTAAGAACTCACGGTTCCAGCGCAAAACCACCATGTTAGATACCCCTCCTGGGTGGCCTGAGCATTTAAAAACACGTGGTTCCAGCTCGGGACCACCATGTTAGATACACCCCTGGGTGGGCTGGACAAGTGAAAACACGTGATTCCAGCTCGGGAGCACCATGTTAGATACCCCCCTGATGGCCTGCACACGTAAGAACTCACGGTTCCAGCCCACCCAGGAAGATATCCAACATGCGGTCGTCTGAGGCGCCAGCAACGTACAACCATGTTGGATACCCCCCTGGCCAACCTGGGGTCATGAAAACAAGCATTTCGCCTGAGACATCCTCTGAATTCTGGCCCCCCACGAGGCCCCCGCTCGAGACATCCCCCAACTCTGCAAAACCAGCGCTCCGCTCGAGACCTCCTCAACAAATTCTGAAAAAAAGCGTTTCGCTCGAAACATCCTCAAAAATAATTCCGCCGGCCCTTCCCGACCTCGATATTTCCCGCAGATAATTCCGCCGACCCTTCCCCAACATGGCACGGGGGACAGTTGACAAACCAAGAGAGAACCCTGGGCCCGCCCCCGCCCCCTTTCCGGGAAAAAAGGTCCTTAGAACATTCTCTGGTGGGCCTACAGGCGAGCCAGGACGCTTCGCCACTGCCGGAACGCACCTCCCCGTCCCCGCCAGACCGCACCACGGCGCCGTCCTCGGGCCCGTCGAACTCGCACCCGCGGCCCGCTTCCGTGCCGCCGCCCGCGGCGGCGCACGACCCCGGGGCCGCGCAGGCGCCCGCCGCCGCCTCGGAGAGCCTGCGCGGCGCTGGCTGGTCGCGCGGAGGGCCAGATCTTGAGCAGGGACCGACCGCCGCGGCGTTCCCATGTAGGCCTGCCACGCGACCTTTCTTGGGACCCAAGTGCCAAGAGTGCTCCAAGAACCCCAAACATGCTCTTGGAACAGAAGCCCGATGTGTCAAACCACGACAGTCCCAGCCAGAAACGTTCTACGAACATGTCGCGCAGACCACAAAAGGTGCATAAAACATTCTTTGGTGGGCCTATAGGCGAGCCAGAACGATTCGCCACTGCTTGATGATCGAGGCAGCGGCGGCTCTCCCTTCTGGGATCCTGGCGTTGCAACTTGCTCGCGTCGGGCGTTTTCGCATGCTCGCGAGCCCCGGGGACCCACACAGGTCGGTCTCGCACGAAAAAGGCGGCTATTCCGCGTTTCGACATTGGGTGGAAGGGGGGGGGGAGGGGGTTGGGCCTGGCCCTGGACCTCTGCTCAATGCGCCTGTTCGCAACAATGCGTCCTGTGGGGGAGACTCCCCCTGCTTCAAAACAGACACTCGATGGGGAAGTGGCGAGGGGGAAATCAAAAGGCACCAATACCGCTAATTACTCCCCGGATCTCTCCTGGGGTGCGCTCTGACCAGACTTCGAGGCGAATCTAGCGGCGGCGACGAGGGAGGCCCAGAGCCCCAAAAGGGGGGAACATGGCCGAATGTTAGCGGCATGGGCCCGCGCCGATCGGCAAAACCGTGAATAAAAAGCGGTCACCAGCTGGCATGAAAACTGCGGCATGCAGCTGGCTTCCGCCCCGCCGCCGGAAGCTTGCGGGGAAGGCCATGCGCGAGCTGTTTCGCTGGCCTCCCCTGTGCTGCCCCCCCCCTCCTCCTCCTGCTCCTCCTCCTCCTGCTCCTCCTCCTCCTCCTCCTCCTCCTCCTCGCCAGAGCTGATGCTGCAATGCTTTTCGCATCGTCGGGCCTCTGGGCCTGTCGCTCTGCGCCCTCTCCCTGGGCCTCCCGGAGAGAGGCCCCTCGGCTCCGCCGGTCGGCACGGGGTCGCGGCCGCCTCGCACCGGCTGCGCCAGGGTACCGCGGAGCCGTGCGAAGCATCGGGCCGCACCAGATCGGCGGAGTATCGCCGTTTTGAGCCCGTCATTGTCGTAGACTTAAGTCGGGCGTGCCCCCCTACAGGGGGATTTTCGACAACAAATGCAAAATATTCAAAAAATGCTCCAAAATGACACAAAAAAAAAACTCAAAACATGGTCCCCAGACTATTGTTGACTATTTTGGGATATTCCCCCATGTAGAGGGACAGGCCCAACTTAACGCTACTGTCGTGGACATTTCGACGGGCGGAGGCGCTGCCAGTCCGGGCCAAGGAACCACCCCCTGCGCACCCCCTCTGTTGTCGACAGAATGCCACGCCTGCTGTGCCCTGGACGAGAGGCAAGCATAGCGGCCGAGCTCAGGAACCACCCCCTGCGCACCCTCCCTGGTGTCGAAACAGTGCAACGCCTGCGATGCCCTGGACGAGAGGCGCGCGTAGCGGCCGAGAATCGAATCGTTACGCGTTCGATCATGCACCCCTCGCCAAGCATCTTTCGCTGAACCTCAGAACGCGTGCTAGCCCCGGCGCGTGTTTGTCCACCGAGGCCACTGATACGACGCAGGCGATGTACTGAACTGCTGGTTGGGCTGAAGGGGGCAAACACCCATTGGGCTAACACACGTCCTGAAGATCATCGAGTCTTGGCCTCTGAAGACCGCCGGAAGACCGCTGAAGACCGCCAGCGAGCGCGTGCTCCGCCGCGGGCGCTGGGCCCGACGCGGTCTTCGGCGGTCTTGGGCGGTCCGGACGGCGGTCCGACACCGTCGCCGGCGGTCGTCGGCGGTCATCGGAGGGAAAGCCAGATGCTTCGCGTCAAAGAGGAGTCCATGCTCGAACACGTAGGAATCGGATCGAGCGGTGGTCCAGGTCGAGGCAGCGGATGCCCTCCCCAGCGTTTTGCGCCCGCTCTGGGCCTCCTCCAGGCAAGGCCAGGCAGGGCCACGACAGCAACGAAACCAGCCAGGACTGTGTCGGGAACCTCTGGAGGTCAGGCGGTTCTGGAGGCGGCATCGGCATCATGCGCCGCTGCCTTCTCAGAGCTTTCCGGAACGCTCCGAGAACGCTCTGAGAGCGTTCCGGAACGCTCAACGCTCAGGAACGACTTACGGCAGAGGGAACCAGTTACTGAACACTCCCCCTCCCGCCCAAAACTCAAAGTTGGCACGCGAGGGGAGGACTGCGGTCGAGGTGCATCTCATCAGACCCACCGCCAACTCGGAACATTGGGGGGAGGGGGAGGCGTTGACAGGCGAACGTGCCATGAGTTTTCGCTACTTTGTTTCCGAGGCCTGTATCCCTGTCCCAGTCCCGCCCGCCAGGTCGAGCCAGCGGCGGGCTTCCCTGGCGTCTTGCGCGCCTGCTGGTGGCTCCCGGTGGGCGCTTTCTGGCTCTGGCCTTCGGCACCTGGCCGAGGCGAGCCTCGCTTGACCGACCCCTGGCCCCACTGGCGTGGCCCGGGCCCCACGGGCCGAGGTGCCCCCCAGGATGGGGATAGAGGCTGTTCCCTCCGGGCTCCGAGGGGGCCATCCCCAGCTGGGGTGGTGCGCTGGCGGGGCCGAGGCCCCATGGCCCACTGGGGACAGGGATCGAGCAATAAGCGATGCGGACGGAAGGGCGGGGAGGAGGGGGGGGGTCCGGGTCTGAAAGGTGCTTGGTCGATCTGCTGCTACCAGTCGCGCGTGCAGGCTGGGGGGGAGTCCTGACCCATCGCCAGAAACCAGCCGCCAACAGCAGCCAAGATCTGGTCTAAGGGGGGGGGGCGGGGGCCCGCGCCCATCGGGGGCCCGCGCCGATCGGCGAAACGATAAATAGCATGATCGACCCACAAGCCCGGAAAGGAATGTAGGAATGTAAGGCATGGCAACGTTTCAAAGACACCTGATTGGGCGACGGGCGCATGCAATGCTGGATGTATCGATCTTGATGTACTGTGCCGAAGGCTGTGCCGTGCTACGCCGCGCTGAACTGCGCGCCGCGCTGAACTGCGATGTGCCATGCCGCGACTGTGCTCTATACAGAGTTGTGGATCGAGTCCTCTTTGCATCCGAGTTCTCACCGAACTGATCTGGATCTTAAACTCGAGCTGCCTGAGCAGATGGTAGCTGCCCCAGAACTCATCGACAGAAGGGACATGCCAGGAGGACGCGTCGCGGAACGTCCCAAGGGACGCGCCAGGAGAGGTGCCAGGGGACGTGCCATGGGCACGCACCGCGGGACGTGCCAAGGGGACGCGCTACGGAACGCGCCAATGGACGTGCACCGCGCGACGTGCCAGGGGGACTCGCCACGGGACGCTCCGCGGACCGTGCCAAGCAACATGCCTAGCTGCAGTGCTAAGGGTATCGATATTGATGTAACGTGCCGAGGACTGTGCTGTGCCTGGGCGACCTGGACAAGTGAAAACGCGCGTTTCGCTCAAGACGTTCTCAGCACATCCTCATGCTAGACATCCGCCTGGGCATCCTGGACACGTGCCAAAAAGCGTCTCGATCGAGACTTCCTCGACACATCCTCATGCTAGACATCCGCCTGGGCGACCTGGACACGTGAAAACAAGCATTTGGTTCGAGACATCCTCCTCCTCCTCATCCTTCTCCTCCTCCTCCTCTTCCTAATGCTCCTCCTC